GAAGAATTAAACTAACTATATATATATATACCTCTCAAAAGATAAGCTAAAAATCTAAAAATAGGATAGTTTATATTATTATAACTGTTTCTAAAGTGTATAACGTATCTATATTATTATATATTTTGTCGGGTAAGTGTTGCCGAGTCTCTGAAGCAGACGTTGACGTTTTCAACGTTTTTCCTCGAGGATTTATTCGATCGATCATCATCGATACGAATGTTGATTCACGGATCCAATTTCGCGAAGCGTTGAGTCGACGTTTCGTGGAGCAACGGGCTTAAGTATTTCTTTCTATAATGAAACAGAGAGATCGACGATGGCGCACTTGTACCTGTGTCCGATGTCAAACGCAAGATATATTGTACTCTTCCGACGACGCGGCTCTTCCTCATTTCGTTAAATAACGTTAAATAACGCGCGCGCTACATCGGCCGCGTTTCGCCTCTGTAAAATCGGGATTTGAAACCAGTGGAATTTCGACCATGTTTCGACGCTGTAAACAAAAGAAGAATAATTGTTTTCGCGTGTTCATAGCGTCGTGCGTATGGGCTCGTCTGAAATTACATATCGGTTTAAATCTCCGGGGGGAAAATGATAACATTCTTTACTTTTATAATCATCTCGATGCACTTGCGTCTTCATTATCATTCGATGCAGCAATCGAGACAACTCGTCGGTGAATTGCGTTTGGCATAATTGAGAATGCCTATTGATAACTGGTAATTAATAATAAATTAGTGACAGTGTTAATCCTGGATGTGTCGATGTGCATAATCTTACAATAATGTATGATAAGCGTCTTTTTGGGAAGCTCGTTCCTCCCTTAGATTAATAACGGCGTCGTTAAGGCCTTCCAATTTCGGATATCTTCTAGTCGAACGCGTCATATCTAGATGTCTATGCACCGAACGAATCGGAGCTTGATGGCTCGATATCGTTAAAGTTGTGATACATATAAAGAATTAAGCACAAAGTTGAGAGTAAATAATGATATTAAGTTAACTAATAAAAATATAGTTTCGCGTGAATGTCCGAACATGATCGACGTTCGATCTGGAGATGATTAAATGAAATTGTAAGATATTAATGACGTCGAATGTGCGTCTTTCCCGAATCGATCGATTTTTCATATCACAAAAATAATGTGATTTCCTACGCCCTTCGTCAAGGTCCAAAACATATCATGACAAGTCCATTTCGTCTTCCCATTTCCTTTCCGAGGAAGGAACCCAAAGGCAAAAGTTTTATCTATACAGGAGTGAAATAAGAGGATATAAGCGAGATAATTAAGTAAGATCGTTGAATAAATCGAAGGCCAATCTTATACTTACACAGACGCAGTATAAATGGCTAGTAAACGGTTAGCAAATGCCAATGGAGAGAAACAAAATCAATACTATCAACGAGTCCAATGACATTTTTCTATTTTAATATTAGATTATCAGGTTAATTTTTTTAGAGATGAATTCCTTTTTGATGGAACGGTATATCATCATAGTGATATATACATCACTTTGATGATATAATTATCTACTTTTTTTCTAGATCCTTTCTGAATAACTCAAATAACACAAGTTTTCTTGACGATAAAATTAAATTATCGTAAAGTCATTTATATCTTATCAATTTCCCTACTCGATGCTAAATGATCCGCGAAAGGATTCATTCATGACTGTAATTAACTTTTAACATCACGAACAGCCAATAAGAAAGCAGGTCATTATCGCACTACATTTCTTGTTTATTTTGTCACAATACCGAGTCGTTATATCGATTGAATGTTCCCAAAAAGGATATTTTTAGAATTGAGAAATAGGAAAAGACACGAAAGTAATCAATAAAAAGGACTAAAAAGCTACAGAGGGAGAGAAGTAATAATAAAAAGAAATATGAAACTAATATGTAGGACGGAGACTTTTCAAGATGTGGGCGTTTCGAAAAGCGTCCTCGCTTGCTTTTGCTATCGCTCCCATTCTTCGTTCAGTTTTCTCAGATCCTTTGTTCGCAGAGCTAAGAAAAATATCTTGCTGCTCGACTTGTCTCCCTATCGGCTCTGTACAAGCTCGACGTTAGTGCACGGTCAATCGAATTAGTCGAACATATATAAGCGTCCGCTCGCACTTCGTGGGATTCGCCGCGCGATCGATCCTTCTCTAGATTTACCAGACGACGGACGCGCAGCTAAATTAAATGACATATCTGCGACAAGCGAATCGCGTGCAGTGCAATCCAGTGGTGTCTCATATATATATATATATATATATATATATATATATATATATATATATATATATATTTATATATA